ATCAAATACACAAAAGTAATGAACGAAATCAGTTACATGGGTCTGCTCATGTATACTTGTGAACCTTTGGTGTAGTAATGAATATTACTGGAATTTTTCCCAACACCAAACTGTTATTTTAAATCCTCGATACGTGTTTTGATCACAAAGTGATCATCTTCAAGAGGAACAACAAAACTGTTTCAATCTTCCTCGTGGAGATGATCACTTGGTGTTCGAAACACGTGTCGAAGTGTTAAAATAACGGTTCGGTGTTGGGAAAAAATCCAGGAATATTCTGCTTATGTATGTTGAATAACCTTTCCACAAAATGTAACCAACGGAATCAGGGGCACCCATTGGGAACTTGAGGTTGCCCATGAATTTTCCAGTCATTCAGTTACACAAAGTATACCAGTGAACCTTTAGGCTCTATACCAGGGGTCGGCCAGTTTCAGGTGGGGTCCAGAAAAAGCAACTGATAAAAATTGAGTGCTACCTATGTATTATTTTGGAACAGCAAATTAGAAGTGTGTCTTCTAGGTGGACGTTCGTTAATCTCGAACGATATTCGTTTTTCAAAAAATTCATCTTTGTGAAATATGTTTCACATACGTATGTCGAGCCAAACATAGTGGCCAAATTTACAGCTAGTTTATTGCAATTTTCATATTTTTCTGGGACATGTTTGGCCCAACATTTCACATTTCTCTCATTTCTCATTTATACATTTGCAAGGAAACATCTTGCACATCAATTATCTCTATTTGAAGTGATGCCTTTGACAGATTGAGCAACTTGGCAGCCACATCTGTCCTCAAATGGCGATTTGAGAAACGGATAACTTGTCCATCTCTGCAAAGTCTTGGAATCTTGTAGCAAATTCGTTTCTAAGATCGGCCAGAAATTTTATGAACACTTCAATGTCTTCTTCAGAGTTCTTTTTATATTCAAAAATTATCGGAAAATGAATAAAGTCTTATCTTGCAATATCTTTTTCAAAGATATCCAGCTTACGACGAAAAGCAGACACGATTTATATCAGATCACATATTAACATTCCATTTCCTTGTAATTCTGTGTTGAGCGCATTCAAATATTTCAAAATATCTTTCAGAAAAGCCACGACCGGCATATTACGCTTGTTTGTTATGAACTCAAAGTGCTTTCTGGCTTTCTCCTAAGTTTTGCAAGAAGGAAGTTACTCATACCTTTATCAGCCAGAGCCGTTCAATAATTTGATCTTGGCTTAAACAACAAACACTGTTGTTTTGCAGTAAGTCAGAATACGCTGAATCACATTCAGAAAGTAACTCCTTGAAATGTCGGTGCTGAAGAGCAGAATGAGACCTCATAAAATTAATCAAGTTGACCAACCTGTCTATCACTTCTTTCAGTGTAGCACTAAGCTTTCCATAAAGAGCTGCCTGGTGAATTGTGCACTGATACTTATACCCGAGTTTGTATCCGTGATTCTCTTTACTACACCTTTTTCTATGCTTATCATTGCTGGGACCCCGTCAGTTGAAAGCGACACCATTTTATCATAACTAATGTTAGATTTAGTAATAAACTCATAAATAACCTTGAATAAATCTTCTTCTCGAGTGTTACCTTTCGACGGCAATATTGCTAGCAACTCTTCTCTGAAAATCTATAGTATACTTGGTACATAACACATTACAATATTTGGCGGTCCGAGGTTCGACTTTTCGCGGTCCGCAAGTTGCCGACCGTTGGTCTATACCTACAGCTTATATAAATTATGTAATAAAATAATTGGAGAAAACTATACCACCGACAGACTAGTGGGAATACGCAAATGAATTAAATCAAGTAGAGCTGATAATATAAATGCATAACACGAGCAAACATACACATTCGTGTATGTTTGCTCGTGTTCGCTTTTTTGGTGAATACGCACCTTAGCGATGTACGTAATGCTCGAGCATATTTACCAACTGATGGTCTGAATAGCTCAAGTGCTGTACCGTACATCTCTGTATTCTCCAAGACTGTCAACAGTTGAGAATGTTCAACTGTATGGAAATGCCTTGGCTAAATCTAGAAATACACAAATGGCGGGTTGACCATCATCAAGTAATTTATAGATTTCACCAAAAACTGTACAAAGAATGTCATCAGCTGATAGTCCATCTCGGAATCCGAATTGACAGTTCGATAGTATTATATCTGGTCAAGTACTGGAAAGTCTTGCCTTTACGGCTTTCTAAAAACATTTGGCAAACGTCGTAATTAATGAAATTTGTCTGTAATTCGATAGTTCTTTTCTCAATAACTTTTTACGAATACGTGTGACAAATGATCTTTTGAAGTCCTTTGGGCATATTTCTTTCTTATAGATATTATTTATCAGACTGGCAAGAAGAGAACTTACCTAGCTCATTTTCTATTGCTTTGTGTATTTCCGTTTCAATACCATCTATTCCTGGTGGTATTCAGTAATTTCTTTCCCATCCACAGGTGCCAGAAAAAAAAAGAGTTTGGGAGGCGTCTCATTTTTGGGGTAGAAGTATTCTGAGTGCTTCGTCTATGAATTTTCCCGGCTTTTGATATATATACAGTTAGACAAACCTAAGAAGAAGACACCCCTATATTATAGTCATTATTGAAAGTAGAAAGTTGATTTTTGCTACAGTCGTAGATCTACATGAGCCGCACTCTTCGCAATACTTAGCCCAAGTGTCAGCCTCAAACCCAGGCTACTGCGATCTAGTGAAAAGGACAAATTCTCGATATTTTGCTTCGTATTGGAGATATCGAAATAAGTTATTCGAAAAAGTTGCTAGGAAATAAATTTTGAGGTAACAAAGTAGTAATTCTGGATAAATCGGACTACTACGAAAGGGTCAATAGCCTCATCACTAAGGGACCGTATGAGAAATTGTTCAGGAACCCGCTTCCTAAGAAGATTGCCGGAGTGAAAGACGTCCTCAAGAAATGCGAGAACATACTCACCCCTCAAATGAAACGAAACTTAAAGTTTCCAACCCAACGGTGTCACAACTATATTGCCTCCCAAAAATCTACAAACCGGAAAAATCAATGCGACCCATCGTGTCAGCTATTGAATCTCTTTTTGGATCTCTATTTGGTAGGTATCAAATAGCAAAATGACTCACTAATAGGCTTGCCTATTGCGGAACGAGATTTTGGTATCAAAAATTCATACAACATACAAAAAACATCGTTCTGCATGAAGGTGAGATTATGGTGTCCTTCGATGTTAGTTCCTTATTTCCTAGTGTCTCAATCGTACAGACCTTACAATACCTCAGGGAATTACTAGAGAAAAATAATTTCAATAATAACGAAATTGATGAATTTGTTACCTTCCAGGTAGACGGTTGCTTTTTTGAACAACAGGAGGGAACGGCTATGGGTAACCTCTTGTCCCTCTACATGGCAAACCTGTTCATGAGCAGATTCAAAATTGAAACCAGAGAAAAGTCAAAGTGTGTTCCTAGGATATGGCTAAGGTATGTGGATGATGTTTTCGCGATATTCGACAACAAAAAAATTGAACATTGAGAACTTTGATTTTCATCAATAAAATTGACTTATGAGTTAGAGAATAAAGGACAACTCCCATTTCTTGACGTTTTGCTAATGGGAAGTCCATATGGAGGGCTAGAATACGATGTATTTAGAAAGGAAACAATTACGTACAGGTATATTCCTGACAGTTCAAATCACTGTGGACAGAGCTGAATTTTCTAGTGCACCCTCTTTTGACTTTTCCTCAAACACATGAGAGGTTCACACAAGATAAACGTACAATAGAGGAAATAGCAGCCAGTAACGGTTTCTCGAAGAATATTGTAGAGAATATAATAAGGAAGAAAAATTTTAAGTTTAGAATGAATACAATCTCGACTTTCAAAAATGACGAAAACCAAGATAAATATATCTCAGTTCCATACCACCAATGCACTGAGAACTTTGGAAACATTTTCAAGAAACTAGGTATGAATTTGGTTTTTGAAAGAATTCATACACTACAGAGCCATTTAGGAAATCCAAAAGACAAAGTCGAGAATTCGGAAAAGTCTGGAATTTACGAAATCAAATATAACGACTGCGATGCAAAATATTGTATACAGACAAAATGATCTATTGAAATAAGATATATGGAACACTTGGCACACCTAAAATATGGAAGTACAGACAAATCAGCAGCCGCCCATGATATTTTGCAACAAAACCATTTCATAGACTTCAGTTCATTAAGATTAGTTAGACAAGTTAACAACAAGAGTCATCTAGATGCCTATGAGAGTGTAGCAAAAGTTAACATAATAATATTATGGATAACGTTGGTGAACCAATACCTAATAATATACTAGATAGCTTATTAAAATAATATTTTAATTATAAGATTAACCTGACTATTACATAAGGACACGTTATAAAATTGATATAAGACTAGTAGAAAAGGCATTATTGTGAAATTGATCGAAGATACCTGAGACGCAGGTACCTAGAAGAGCTATGGTTTAAATAAGGATAATTATTATAAATATATTTAGTTCAATCTTCCGCTTGAAGATGATCACTTGGTGATCGAATCACGAGTCGGGGTGTTAAAATAACAGTTTGGTGTTAGAAAAAAACTCCAGTAATATTTCTTACATACCAAATTTCAACCCAAATTTCGAAATTGGTATTTTTTTGTAATTTTCATATTCAAGTCCGATTTTCAAGTTATGGTCCCGAATAAAAAGCTACAAAAATGATATAATAGTCAAAATCAATGAAATAAATGTATTGAAATAACTAAAATTGAAAATTATCATTTTATCGAATGTAAGTCTGTCTTCAATTTTGAGGATTTTTTCAATTTCCTGTTGAATATGATCGATTGCGAATTTGTCTTACTTTGGATGGAAAATCATCATTCTCAATGTTTCAAAGCAGTCTCATATATTGTGTTTCAACAATATTCCATTTGGGCTAGAGTGTCATGGATACTAATGAACTATTTGTACCCCAAATGTCAGATTGAAAGTAAATGCGTCGAAAATAGTAACAAAATTCCCATTAAACGTCTTAATTTACAAGAAAAATTGAAATAATGAAGTTATTTGATGATGGTGCTCTAAATAGCAGACAAGTTGCTAAATAATTCAACAGAAGACAACCGCAACGAAATCGTATTCGACATGAAACGGCATCCTCCGTGATTGAACTTTCTACTGGAATTCCTATCTATAAAACAGGTATGTGTATCAATATATCAATATCTACTGTTAATAATTTTGCTGAAATCTTTGAACAATCCCTTAAAAGTAGACTTATAAATTACCAAAATCCTAAAAAAATACTCCATAACTCTAATATCGAAAAAGCGGTGCTATATTTTGTTCAAAAAATGATTGTAGCTTTGGATAGATCAAAAAAATTATGAGCTATATTTCTTGACTTAGCTAAGACATTCGAAACCGTTGATCACGTATACCATACATGGGTATACATGGGTAGTTGGAAGGAGGCTTTGAAAAATCAGAAAAGGGACCGAGATAAATCCAGATATGGCTTGATTACAACCTTCTGAGTATAAATGTGACAAAATTGAATTTATTACATTTTGCAGAACGATCAACCAACCAGGGAATATCATAATTCACTTCCATGACAGAGACTGTATTAATACAACAAACTGCAATTGTGCTCCTATAGAAAGAACAACAATGATTAAGTATCTGTCAGTCATCATGGATCAGCAGATGTTGTAAAACTCTTAACTAAAAAATTCTATGAATTGAGAAATATTCTGAAATACAAAAATTTGATCACCATATACCAGTCCTTAGCAGAATCTGGGATAAAATACTGTACTTTAAACATTCCCTCAATATCCTCCAAATATCTCCAAATATAATCTTGAAAATATTAGTCAAAAAACCTAAGCTGTAGTCGACCGAATGTCTGTATGTCTGCCAGCATCCACCATGGTAATACTGTCTCAGGACTTTATCAAGGTATGTTCACAAAGTTACGCACCAGTAGAGTAGAGTATGGTAACATAATCAGAAACGTATTGCCGTCCAACGTTTGAAGTAGCCGTTCAAAAATTGTTCATTCGCAAATAAAGAACGAATGACAAGTATTAATTAATAATTGTATGAAATCAAGGTGACTAATTATATGGCTATACATATCTGAATAATGTATTTTCATTTATCTATATAATAGAATGAAAATATGATGCAGCAATGTATCATGACTGGTAGATACAGATACAGGTAGCTACTTAGAAAACGTTATGATGTTATTATCGCAGACAGTGTGACGTGCATACTTCTCTGGATGTTTTGCAATAATGCGTTTTTCCAACTGACTGTACTTTATAACGACCTTGCCTATGAAATAGAAAATTGTGTGGAACTGGCCAAGACTTATTGAAAATACATATCAAAACTTAATAATTTATACTGATCATTATTAGAAATTACAAAACCGCGATACGTAGATCGCTTTCAATAGATGTCCCTCCGCAAGGAGGTGAGTCGCAACGTTGAATTTATTTTTCCATTCTGGAAACTGTTTCTATATTCTTTAATGCATGGTTCAAATGTTTTCCAGTTTGGCCTTTGTAAAACATCGGACATGAACCAGAAGACAATTTTTACATTCCTGATCTATTTTCAATATGTATGCTCAAATTTTCTATATTTATGTTTTTTCCGTTAACCAGCTATCGTTCCTCTTCGAACGACAACCCTCAGAAGTCGAAACTTAGGCGAATTAAGGACTAAGGAGGTATTACCTTTTAACGTGTGATTCCTAACACAACAATTTTTCGGGAAATCAGAAATATTAGATTTCTCTAAATATGTTAACGCTATATAATATTTCTCCTCGTCTCAAGGACATAATTATTACTAGTGAATGAGTATGTTTACCGGTATTTATCTGGTTTTACTAGTTTATGAAATTTTGAATCCGGTCTTTCCAGGTACGCAAAACTAGATTAGTAGTGTTGTTGGAGTACAAAATGTTTCAATCTAGAAGAAGTTAATTAAATCTGATTGAGAATGCTGTTGTATAGCGAAATATGTGTATTGGTTTTGTAAACCTTTTATAGTAAGAATCAAACTGAATCTTATCCGTAAGTCTCAAGTAAAAAAAAATTGGGCAACGATGCAGCAGTAGAGACGGCTTTTTTGGTTTTTGTCTTCAGTACGTTTACCACAAAAACTCATTTTCTATGAAAAATCTGATAGAACTAACCGATACAGGATGAAAATCCTTCAAAACGCATTCAAAAAACACTTCATTGAGAGATTTCAACTTGACAGTTCACAAAATCGTGACGCGTGTTTCGCTATACAAAAGCATAATACTCCTAAAATTGTGACGCCTGAAAAATATTTTGTATAGCATCAGTCGTCACAATACTCCCAGTATTGAAGATACTATTGTATAGCAAGATGCGTCACAATACTCACAGTATTGTAGAATTTTAACCTCAGGCGTTAAATGAATATATTGCAAACAATTTTCCCACACCAATAACAAAAGAACCAACTTTAGACTCGCAAGTCTCTAATCAAGTTAGTATCACGAGATGATACAACTTGTCGCTTCGGATAAATAAAAAAATCCAAAGTTATCCCTGATTCAGCGATATCTCAGATCACAGACAGCATCTTGGGAGATGACGTAACAATGACTTCAATTCTGGTACAGAAAATAAGCTATTTTGTGGTTGAATGGTGACCAAAATTCTGGTTTCAAGGTATGATACTTTCGACACTGCTTCAATCGGGAGATAGGGGACTATTTCACCTCCAGCCTTTTTTTATGGTGAAAGTATGACAGTTTTTCTGTAATACAATTGACGCATTCAAAAAACATTTCATTGTGTGATCATCACTGAACAAATACAACCAATTTTTCTACATCACCAATATCATTATATTCAAAGATTTCAACGTAAAACTCCCACGCATATCGTATTCATTCACGAAACGAATTAGAATTGCACATCCTAATCCACTTTCAGGAGGATTATAAGTTATTTCCTCCTCACCCTGATCATTCTGTTTAATGCGAAAAACGAGTTGCTTTCCAACTGAAACTTCCCGCAGCGTAACATAGTTCGAGGGTAGTTTTTCGGGGCGCAGACCACAGACGACTGTAAGGCTTTTCAGGCATATATTTTTATGAGCTATTGAAAGATTAAAGAATGGACATAGACAGATAAGGGTTTGTGTTTTGCTGGATATGTATACCTACATATATGTATATATGTATACCTACATATTATGTGTGATTGATGATGGTTTACTTTATGGTAATTCATGATCACTTAAATGAAATGAATAAAAACACTTTTGTCTAAATACCACAGAAAAATTTTCATTCATACGACCGGTTTTGGGTTTGATACCATTATCAAGTATAAAACTGCTACTCATATATACCAAAATTAATTTCAGATCCATTTTCTGTGATGATGTGACAGATTATTCAACAGTTGTCAAAATTTTTCATCTTTCATCGTTCTTTGAGTTTGTAAATTCATGCCATTTTATTTTTAGTCCTCTTGATGAGTTATTTTCATATGTTCTCAAAAGAAGATATGTGAGCAAACAATAAATTAAAATTTATTTTCTATTCCAAGATATTCTTGATAAAGGAAATGATATATTCCGAAAGCTTAAAGATGACTTTATAGTATTTCTTTATAGCGATTCGATATTGATATTGACTACCATACCCAATCTACCAAACGTGTAGAATGCTGAATTATCTGCAAGAGAAATGAATTGAATTTTATAGAAAAATTCTTTACTGGGTTTGTTTGTTTTGTTTGCATGTACTGGGATAAACCCAAAAATCACAGATTTCATGAAGTTTGACATCTGAAAGAAAAGTATATAATCAGTGATATCCCTATGAAAATTCGATTATTCCAAAAATTTTTCAAGAACTTTCATTTGAAAATTGATTATTTAGCGTATTTCCAGCAGAGTCACTGCTGCTTCATAAATGGTGATTGACGGCTCGGATGCTTCGCGCGAATTCGGTAAAATAAAAAAATCATCACATTAATAGATCGCTCATGACCGTTGGCTGTAAATTTGATTTGATGAAATAATTAATTTACAATTTTTGATTGAAATAGCGATTTTATTTTGTTGTCCAATAACAAATATAGAATGCGGAATACCACATCACAGATTATGTGTATCGAAAGTGAAACTGCTTTCGGTCAAACATACACACATTTCCAATTAATTCCCATTTACTGATATGTGACAGGCTGTCCCCTCATTTAATGACTATTCATTTTCGCTTGCAGCATGGCCATCTATGACCTGTCGAATAAGCAATTTCCGATTCAATAGACGGCAGATGGCGCTCTTTGGTCCTCTGCAAATTACTATTTGAATTTTTAATCTCTTTTTGTTGGGAAGGTCGAACCCTTGCGATAACTTTTTATTTCAATTCAGTGAAAATGTCATAATTCGTGCCAAAATATTAATGGATTCACTTTACAAGTGTCCTCTTCATTTCTTTCGAATTGATTTTTTATCTCACAAGAATGGCTTTGTAAATTATTCAATTATGCAAATGAAAATTCAATATATCATTTCATATATATTCGGAGTTGGGGCTGTTCATAATATTTTTTTGGCTATCGGATCGAAACCCTGAAAATAATGAGAAAAATCACAACGGTATGATCTTGAGTGACTTCAAATTCATTCTTTAAAGATCATTCGATAGTGAAACATACTGAATAGTTACAAAAAAAATATGCAAGAAATTCACGGTTTTTTGTTGTGATGGTGATTCGATCTAGGTTATGACCTTGTAAATACAATGATGGTCAAGGTCTGTATTTTGAACGAAAATTCATATTTTATTTGACCCAGGAGCAGGAAAAGCGGCAAATTACCATCAGGTCATCATTTGAAATCATAAAATAACAAAGAGACTCATGATAGCGAAAGAAACGAAATGATTATTATGACTTTTCTATTTCATTTTGGGTGGACATATCAATAATTTATTGTATTTGATAGGGTTTTGTTATATTATGATCAACTAGTGAGTGCAAATGAAATTTACAACATGCATATGACTGAACTTTATATTTCCATTCCATTTCAAAATAATTAATTGGCATTCAAAGTATAGTTATTGCGATAAATTATTGCATATTGTTAATAACAGGACATGGTGGGCCAAAAATTGTGACAATAGATTTATTATAAATACTTGATTTGAAGACTTTTTTCTTCAAACAAATTGACAATCATATTATATTTCCCCAATAAATGCTCACAATAAATCGTAATATCAGTCATATTTACTGTCGATATTGTTTCTTGACGTTCATGATATTTTCATTCAGTTAGCATATTGAACATTCAGTGAAATGATGAACTGCTATCAGCTAGAAATATCGATAGTTCATACAGAATTAGTCTATGAGGGTGTGGGGGTATAGACAGCTGACTGACAAAATTTCATTTGTGAGATGTGTTTACGTCTCTCGACACGACAGGTTTCCTTTAAAGAATTGTGACTGTTAACGCATAACATAATTCAGTTTTCTTCATTTTTGATTATCTATTTAAAATATGTTTGTTTGAAGTGATAAATTTAAAACGAATGAGCTATGGTGTTGTCAAGATACACATGATTCAGTTAAATAACCAAAATCAATCACGCTGCTCAGTATTGAAAAGCAGTAGAAAGAAAAAAAGACGATATTATTGAAAATTTTGAAAGTTGTATAATACAGTCTCCACGCAACAAGAGTTTTCATGACATTAAGGTTGA